GATGGATCAGAATGTTTGCAGGGCTGGGTGAGTGTGTGTCCCTGTGGGAGTTCAGACACCGGAGGGCTGGTGTGTCCTGTAACTGTTCAGTAGCTATGCAGGAGGCCTCAGTTCCACAGCTGTTTAATTGTTATGTTGTCATAATAAATAACTAACAAAACCAAAGGAGATTCAATAGGAAAAGCAAATAAGATGCCATTGTATTTCACTTTGGTAAAAAGACATATTTGTGCTTAGTCAATTGTTTGAACAAGAAAAAAGCTACGGATTGAAATCTCTTTCAAGAGCTGTAAACCTTTTTTTTTTTGGTAGGAATTAGGATTATACGGCTTTGAAGCAACTTTGATTCCAGTTTTGTCATTTGAATTCGTCGCTCTTGAAAGTTTATTTGAAAAGGTAAGTTTTACATTATTTCAGTTGCATATTTTTCAACAGAATTTAAGCCATGGTTGCCAAGAGGCCGTGTCTTGTCTTATAAATGCCCTTTGTGGTGCCTCTTTCTGTGTTTCCACCCACGCAGTTGCACACAGTACGATATTGGGTACAACCTGGAGTATGTTGCCCATGCTTGTTAAAGACTTAAGTTGGTCAGACAGCATTCACATTTGGGTTGATGGGCCATAGATTGTCACAGGTATTGGGGCATTTTGTCACGACAAAAAAGTAGAAGACTGGGGTGACAACTAAAGGGTACCTGAGGTTCGCCCTTAGATTGTACTGAAATTGTGTGCTGCATCTCCTGGTTACATGGAGCGACAGTGCATAACTGGTGTCTCTCTCTACTCTTTCTTCAACATATATATTTCATTTTAAAATGAAAAGAGGGGGGTTCCCTGTATTGACAGTCCCTAACAGCACTGAACTTTGTTTGGTGTTTGAATGTGTCATGATCTGCATTTGCCAGTAATCCAAGAACATTCTTCCTTTTTTGTTTTTTGTACTGGTCTTTGAGAGCCCGTTAGTCATCTTGACTGGTCTTTGAGGGGGCAGGGGGCAAGCAGCTGTCTGGGTAGTACCCTCTATGCTACCGCTTAGAATAACAGTTAATTTCTCTTGCACAAGTTTGTACGTCACACGTACATCGTGTGACCATCCTTCCGCCTTGTTTCAGTGACAGGAATCCTTGTCCGTTCCTACAGAGTCTCAGAATTAATATAATCTGTGCAAGTTTTGTTCTGAATTTGAGATTTCTTACACATTTCTCTTATAAATACTCTGGCTACTGATAGAAATGAACTATTTGCCCGTTTCAGACATTTATTGAAGCATTTTGTTCTTTGCAAGATTATAAAGAATTGAATTTAATTAAAATTAAATTAAATTAAAGAATTTAATTTTTAAATTTATTGACTTTTTTTAAAAAAAATTTACTTCTTGAATTTACTGTTTCTAAGTAGCTCTCTCATCCAGAATGTTATGGAGGCCTGGTTTTTACCAGTCCAAGAGCATTAGAAGCCATCAAGTTATGTTTAAAAGAGAATAGTAAAAATGAAGGTAAGTGCATATTTATAGTCCTTGGTCTTCCTGTTTCTGTATTTTGTGATGTTTGTAATTTCATTTCACCCACCAGCCGGTGTTTGGAGTTTGCGTTTTTTAAAATAGCCGAATCTCATTGTTCTGGCATCGTGAAGGCCTCATGCCAAATTGAGCTTTTAAGGGATTGAGGGTTGGGTTCTCTGCATTTATGCTGTTGTTAGAGAGGAAAAGAAAGAGCTTTGGGTGCAAATGGCTGGTTAGTGTGAGCTTTTCCCGCTGTGGTTATCTTTGCTAGAAAGACTTGTAAGCAGAAACCAGCGCCTGAGGAGTGTTTTTGCTGCAGGGCCTAGTTTTGCTCAGTGACCTCTTTCCTCCCTGAAAGACAGGGGTGTTTTGTAGAAACTGGCCACTGCTGCTTACGTGTAGACTCATACGGAGTCCTACGGAAAAACAGATTTCTCTGTCTTGAATATAAAATTGATCAAGCGAATTAAGCCTTAACTAAAAAGCAGTGAAGAAAAGGCGATCTTAAAAGCCAACAGGTGACTTGTGAGTAAGAATCCTGCAGCATGCTAAATAGGAATTACCGTACCAGCGATCTAGCAAATCCTTCCAAACGCTTCTAAATTCTTACACTACGTGGTAACTTCTGGCTTTGAGTTTCTGTGTGCACTTAAATCGCAGCATTGCTGCATCTGCTCCATATTCAGGCTGTAGTCATGCTAACCAGTGTGCAGTGAGTAAGCAGTAAGTACACTGTCAGCTTATTTTAGCATTTTCAACAGCAGAGGGCTGTATTTTAGGATTTTTGGTCAAATGTCATCCTGACTTCATCCCAAGTCTTGATTAGGAATTTTAGGAGATGCTGAAATACATATTTTAATCAATAAAATGAGTCTTTAGTTCCTATTTAGATTCCTTTAAAAGGCAATAAATAATTTTCTTTTTCCTTCTTTAGAATAGTTTCCTCTGATTTTTTGTTTTTGCTGTTGTAGTTTCTAATTCCCGCTCCCTCCCGCCCCCCCCCCCAAGAGTACTGGAAAGGAACTCAATGTCCTGTGCTCTGCTGTTTTAAGACAAGATAGTAAAAGACTTAACTTATCTGTTGTTGACCTGTTAGGATTTCAGGCTCAGGGATCAGGTGGCTGGATCCAAGAAGTGTAATTTGTAACATACATACTGCCTGAAGGAGGAAAACCATTTCCTAGTAACTTTATTTTGGTCTCTGGTACATTTTATTTCTGAGCTGATAACTTATTTTTGGTGTATGTTCAAAATATAACCAGTTTCCATAGTTTTCTTGTATAAGACAGAGTTATGTGACAGAGTACTGTAGTGCATGGATATAGATTTTTTTTACCTTTTCATTTGTTGTCATGGAAGATTTATTTTCTTTTTTTGCCTAAGCCTTCAGTTTTAAACCACCAGTTTGTATGTCTGAATCTCCCTTTGCACTATGTGCTGGTTTTTCCTATGAGTTTTGAGGGGTTTTTAAATTCTTAATGCCAAAATAGAAATGAACATTGCAAATTGCATGGGACCCGGCATGGGGCAAGTGTGCATTAAAACTGCTGCTTAGCAAAAGCAGCTAAGAACGGTTTAGTCAAATTAGGCTTTTAAAAGCATGTAGACTGCTATTTACACAATGAAAACGATACATTAAAAATTCATTTTGTGCATCCAGATTTGCAGATGTGTGTAGTGGCGTATTAGTTATTATTATTTTGCTGTATTTGTGGATTAAACAGAAGTCCAAATACTCATTTAGCATTCCTATTTTGTTGCCACGTGCTTAAATTTAATTTCATGTTTTCCAGCCTGGTTAAAATCTCTTAAACAAAGGTGGAATACGAAACCAGCGTATGTGGTAGGAAAAGCGACAGCTTCTCTAGGTAAGCTGGGGTTGAAACCCCGAAATCTTAGATAAGTATAGTTAATTGTTAATACAGTTTTTGGAATGTGAGCTGCTATTCAAGGGTGTTTAGAAAAAAATATAGATAAGCTTGATAAAAGGATAATTTTGAAAACAGGTAGTTGCATAGACATTAGACCTGTACGTGCTTAGCGCAGCCAAGGGTGTAACTTCTGGGTTTTCAGTACTTTCATTGTCATGGGAGGGTAACTGCTTTAAAACTTTGGTCAAAAGTTAAAAAAAAAAACCCCTTTGTTCTTAATTTGCACATGGGTTTTTTCATTCACTTTGGCAATGAAGTTGGATGAAGGGGATTGTAACAGGGTTGACTGAGATTGTACCTGCATTCCCGCCGTGTTCCTGAGGCATTAAGCAGAAGGCAGCCGTATCCATCCCGCTGACTTCAGTGGTCAGCTGCTTTATTTGCCTTCACGCTGGTTTTAACCCGATGCAAGGCACATTTTATGTGCATAGCAAAAATGCAACGTAGATTTTAGTTTATGGAAGCCTTTCTGGCGGTAAAATTGCATTGCAGCTTTAGCTTCCACTGAACCACACAGGCAGTATTACGAAAAGCACTTCAGAATTTTAAGAGTCTTGCTGGTTTTATGCTTCTAGTCCAAAAATAATTTGGGTAAGTACTGGCTGCCTCTACAAAAAGCCTATTTTTTCAGGCAGGCTGGTAACAACACTGGATCACCAACCAGTGACACCTAATAAGCATCTTGAATCAATCAAGTCATGTTACTGCTTCAAATGCTCTGATTTTTTTTTTGCTTTTCAAGGAAGTATTTGTGTGTGTGTGTGGATCAAGTTGTGTCTCCCTTTCCAACCCATGTTTCTGTGACAGTAAATCTGAATTGTTCTCACTGATGTCCATGTTTTTCTTTGCTGCTTTTGCTTATAGTGGAAGAAATTGGTCTTATTCCACAAGGGGAAAAGTCTGGAAATGCTGAAAAATTAGCTGAATATATTTGCTCAAGTAAGTATCTAAAATCTTCTGCTTAAATTAAGCCAACGTACCTCCCATTGCTTCAGAATGTCCTATAAGTAAAACCGAGTGCACAGGGAAGCAGAGAAGTACATACTGCATATACCTCTTATATCTAGAACCCGGGGATTCAGCTTCTGGGAGTGTGGGTGGTATCTCTAAAAGATGATAAAAAATACTTTGAAATACCTATACAAAATACTAATTTACATGAAATCTTAGACTCTGTAATTGATGAATAACACCGTATGAGCCAGTAGACAAAGTATTTTTTTACTAAAAGATCAGAGCTGGAAATTGCTGCTTAATCATAAGATTTAAATGTTTGTGGCTAGAGGTGTGCTGGTTCTCCGTGAACTTTGGGTGACCTGACTTTCCTTGCTTCAAACCAGTCCGTGCTGGGGATCTTTCACCATGCCATAGCTCTGAGTAGATAAGGGGAACTCCTTCCTTCAGAATGAATGTGTGGTTTCAGAGGAGTCTGTTTTGGAGCCCCAGAGGAGAGTGGGTTTTGAAGAAGCTGCAGAAAGGGTTAGTTAAAATGATGGTTTATGTTTTGTTTAACCATTTTGGTGTGGTTAAAGCTGTAATGCTGCTCTGTTTGCTGCTTCTAAATGTATTATTGGATTGTTGGGTCATTTTAAAAGTCTAGGTAGTCTAATTCCTCATTTTTATTCCCTGTAATTTCTTAAAATATCTAATAGAAATAAACATTTTTAGGCATAAGGGCTGATTATTTTGGGAGTGGATGGGTCGGTACAAGCTGTGAGAAAAGAGGCTGTGTTTCTGTACAGCCTGGCTTCTAGAAGTGGCGTGAAGAATGTCGTAAGCGGGAGCTGCCAGTGCTTCTGACCCACGTGGTGGCCGTGCAGGGGATCCACGACTGAGGTGCCTGCTGCCTTCAGAGTGTCCGTCCCAGCATCGCTGGGAGGCACAGTTACCGCCAGAAGTCAGCAGGATTAGTCCCCGAGCGCTCTGAAACTCATTGCTAGAATAATCTCTGTACCAGACAAAAAATCACACCCGAGGTTCAGCGTCTCTGCAGCGGGGCTGTGAGCTGGCAGGTCCTTCTCTGCGCTTTGAGGTGACCTGGGGCACAGCCCCGCTCGTGGCAGAAGGCAGGGAGCTGCATAGGGGAGCCTGGTAGTGGAATTAGAGGGAGCTTTCAGTCGGATACAAAGGCAGGTCCTTCACTGAAGGACTTTATGCCCCAAATTTTAAAAGGGAAACAGAAACCTTCATCTCGAGGTTCATGCCGTGCCCACTACTTGAACAGAGAATGCCCAGTGCTTCGAAAAGCCGTGTTACTCAGCCAGCCAAGTGAATAGTCTGCCTTTGGCTAACCCCAGTCAGAGAAACAAATGACAATCAGAGCAGTTATTCTGGATGTTGGATAAATTATTGTATCCGCTGGTTTAAAAGCCCTGCTGCTGACCACGCTCTGAACCTGCTGAATAAGGTGCTGGATGCTTCAGCAGTGGAAATGGTGTCAAGAACCCTGATACGTTGTGTTTGGCTGTGAGGCATGATGCTAGATGTGAAGCAGAGTGTTGATTAGCGAAGGCTGCGGAGTAGCAAAGATTTATCGGTAAAAGAAAAATTGATTGGAGCTGGCAAGTACTGTTCTTTATGGGCAGAGTGCTCTGTAATTCATTGGCAAATGAAATGTTTGAACTATACGGAATATTTCATGATAAAAATGATTGTTGCCCACACAAGATTAAATAACAAATTCTGAAATGTAAAAATGAAATTTTCAACACAAAAATGCTGTAAGTGAAGAATAACCTGTATCTGCTCTTCAACAGGTACTTTAAAATAAAGAAAGGCTTTAGCTGATTTTTTAGTGCGAGGGAAATCTACTTCTGGTATTGAATTCATGTTTGCCAGTTTGCAGATGGAGCGGGTTTTTTGGGAAGGAAGATGAGAAAACCCCTTCTGTTGTATGAATGTGAGAAAAACTAGGATCAGGTCTAAAGAAAACAATGCATGTAGTACCAGGAGTGGAGAAATTCCTCGGTGGTGAGCCTGTGACTGGCAGTTACTGCGTCATAACATCTTCTCGGCTGTTCTCAGTCCACCTGAGGATCATCCTTGGCTCTTCCTCCTCCCGTGGGAGCCGCTTGGTTCACAGACCCTGTTGTTTCTGGCCGTGTCTGATCCTGTGGCTGTCTCCCCGCTCTGCCTGCATCCTCCTGCAGAGTGAGGAGCTGGCAGTCACCGGGAGCCGGACGGGGAACAGCACCTTCTGGTGAGAGCAGAGTTCAATCCAGAGCCAGCAGCAGCTCCTGAGAGCCCCCACAGGGAGAGCGATCCCTGGGCCTTCACAGCCTCTTACACAGGGCAGTTTCGTACCAGCAGGCTGCTTAAATTAACACAACGCTGCAACACTGCCCCTGTCCTTGCAAAAACGCCTGCCTTTGGGTACCTTCCGTCCCCGTAACCGAGCAGGGGATTTCAGTCGCGGGGGGCTGCCTGCTGCTGACCCCTATGACCACGGTCCGTGCTGGGGGGGATTGGGCACGTTCCTGTGCTCGCCGTTTGTCCGGTGGTTTCTAACGACCTCGGAAGTACAGCTTAAATGACATCATCTTCCCTATCCTGTCTGTGTTTATTTTTGTTTATGCAGAAAATGGTAAGTGAATGAAAAGAATAGCTCTAGATTTTTATATCGTTAGAATTTATTGTTGAAATAACAGTCAAATCTGGAGCAATGATACTTCTTTTGTTCCGCCCCTTTGTGCTTTGGTGCCCACTGCAGCTTCAGCGAGTGGCAAAATGAAGGAGCTGACTCCTTCACTAGCTAGCTAGCTTTACGGTCTTTTGGGGGCAAAATGTTTTTTTAGTCTTATTACAGCGTAACATTTGTGTGGGTTACAGAAGTAGGGGATACCATGAGAGGCAATGCTATTGTTGAGCCCTCCTAAGGAATTTTTCTGTGCTTTGTAAACACAACGGCAAAAGGATTAGTGTTTCTTTACAGGTACCACATCGACATTTCCATTAACTGCCATCGGTTGTAGGAGGATTAATGCTGAAACGTTTAGGTTTTATCTTACCATTTTAAAATCTCTTTTACATTCTATCCCAAGTTCATTCTTCCTTCCTGTAATTTATTACGAGCCTATCTGTGGCTTCTCATAAAACTTCAGTGTGCATTTAGGACAGTCAGATATATCTGTGCTGGCTCCTGCTAGGGTCTTTCCATTTGATTTGTACTATGCTTTTTTTTTTCCCTGAGGCATCTCTGTTGCTTACTGTTATAAACCAAGAATCTACTTCCAGCACTTTTAAAAAAACATTTATTTTTCTAGTAGTCATCTCTTAAACACATGTACTAACATACCTGGATTAGTAATAAAATGACGTGTTGAGGAACTCTCATTTATTTTGAAAGATGAATGCCAAGTTCTGTGCAGCTGCGTAGAATTTCATCTTGAAATTTTCTCTGGATTTGTTATTCATAGAAAAAGCAAACTCTGTGCAAAAAAAAAAAAAGTCTGCGGTTCAATTCCCGTCTAAAAATCAAATTCTTCCTGGATTGAAACGCTCTTGATCTTCTGCAAAGTGGCAATATTCACTTCTATTAGATAAAATCTGGTGGTGAAAAACTTTCCAAAACAATTAGTTTAAGCCCTAAACCCAGCAAGTTATTGAGAAGCTGGTACAGGCAGAGCTGGTTCCTTCCTCTGAGCCAGGTGTTTGCATTCCCAGTGCGATGGACATTGTCAGCGTTCGCCCTTTCCCGTCTCCGGTGGGCGAAGGGTCAGGGTGTCCCCCCAGAGCTGGCGACATGACTGCTGTTACCTGGTGGGATTTTTTTGAGCAGAATTTGTCTTCCCCTCTGATCATGTCTTAGAAAAGCGACAAAACCTATGGAACCTGCCTCCCAGGTGTGTCCTGTGCTACGAGAGGTCATGAACAGGTATCAGAAAGGTCCTTCCAAAATCTCAGAAGGGGCTTTCACATGTTGGCAAAGTGACAATATTCAAGTTGGAGGTCGCTTCCATTTTAGAGGACAAGAACAAGCGAGGATATCCACCCTGGCAGTGGCACTGGAATCATTTTTCCTTAGGGAAGTAAGAAAATAAGAGTTCCAGACAGATGGAAACTTTCCAGCACAGCATTTCCGTCCTCTTTGTCTGCTGGAATATTCTTTTAGAGAGAACGAGCTGTCATGTATCGAGTGGGGCTTAGATTTTAAATTTAAAAATTGAGGAAGGTGGTGTTTCTGAGGAGGAGATAACTTGCACAGCACTTGTTTTGCTTTGTAGGATGGCAAGGGGAATAGAAACGCAGTTTATCCGTTGTGAGATCTTTTTAGCCAATGTATTCATAGTATAGTTACGGAATGGTTTTTAATTTACATGCTAAGTAGCCTCTCTCCTCTGAATTGTGGATGCAGTTGCACTGCAGATGTTTTCGGTTATCTTAGGGCTGTGTCTGGGATGAAGCGTGCAGCATTTGCTGCAGTGTGCAACGTTCCATACCTTTAAAATGTATTAAATGTATCATGTTTGCTCTTTATTAAAAGCACAAGTTAGTTAAAGTTCTTGTTTGTGTGTTTACAGGAGAGAAACCTACCTCCTCGGCTCTCCTGTTTCCTTGTGGAGCCCTGAAAAGAGAAGCCCTTCCTACAGCGCTTCGAGAAAAAGGTTGGACTTCCCTTGGAGCCTCATTTTAATTAGTCAGCGACGAGAAAACGTGTATCAGAGGCTCGTGAATCCAATTTGAACGAGTAAAAATTGAATTTGCTGTTAACGTTGGCTAGAAGTTAGAGGACGGGAGTGAAAACTGAGGTTGGATTGCTGCCCCCGGCCCTGGGACTGAGCTGTGGCGTGGTGGGAGCAGGGTTGTTTGCCTTGTTCTTCACTGGCGTTCTCCTCGGTAAGGTGGAGAGTCACTTCTCCACCAGAATGGTTTCCCAGTGTGCTTCGAGGCCCTCTGGTTACAGACGCTTTAGTGTGTCTTGCAGCTCTAGAAATACCCACAAATCCTTCACAGAATTTCTTCTGTACCTTTTCAACCTAAAAATAGTACACTTAAGTGGAAGTAGTAGGTTGAGAGTGTTTTATTGAAACAATAGAAATGAATGCGACCCTGTTTAATTATGAATGTGTATCCTGATTCCAGGCATACCTCTGGAAAGCCTCACTGTTTATCAAACCACCCAACACCCTGACCTGCAGGAATCTTTGAGCAGTTACTTCTCACAACAGGTACTGGATGCTGGTGTAATTTGAGAATTTTTGAGGTATATGATAATACCCAGCAGAATATACTCCTTTTTTTCAGCCATAAACGATACTTGTGGTGATAGAAGGATATCCTGCACAGGCTTCTGGTTCTCTTTTCCTCTTGACTACCAAGCAAATCCTTTAGCAAAAGTTTCAGACAGAGCGTGAGTCCCTCAGTTACTTGTTAGGGCAATTACAAACGAGCCTAAAAGGCACAGTGCCTCCGTCCGAAGAAGAAAATGAAACCTTTCACATTTTGCCTTGGCTTCCAAGTTACATGTGTGTTTCAGAATTGCTGGGAAATAACTGCATCTGTAATTACAAATGCAGTTTATTCCTTTGAGCCGGACAAGACTGCTTTTCAAGTAATACCACGTCAGAAATTCCGTTTAGCGAGGATATTTATTGAACAGCTTTGTTACGAATTTTTATTAGCATAACTGGAATATCACTGGGCATCTGCTGCAGATTACAACTCAGAATCCAGCAGTAATCTGCCCCACAGAGTTTCAGTGTTCCTTCTCCAATTCTCCAATCGACGACTGTCTTAATTATCTCATTTTAAGTGTTAGAATTCCAAGTCACGTGCTGCTGACAAGTGTATGGAGATGTATTTGCTAGAATGATTAAAGTTTTTCTCTTTTTTCTAGTAAATGTCATTAAGCAAGGATCAGTGCCTAGTAAAAGATTGGAAGGTACTAATAATTGCTTTTGTTTTTTCGAGATTGGCTTTCTGAATTTTGCATTTGTAGGAGCCTACATGATATCTAGGATTAATTTAGTTCAAAATACAGCCTTTCCTTCTTACAGAAACTTGGCCTGCGTGAGCACGTCGCACTTCTTTTTAAAATCCGTGCGTCCTTTTTAAATTGCACGTGGATTTTAAAGTTCTTTTCCAAGAGGTCCTAAAAGGCTGTGGCCTGGGCAGGCCGGCTGATTCACTGTGGCATCCTGCGTTCCTGGGTGGGTTTTGCAGCTCCCACCCCCTCCGGGCGTTAGTTCAGAGCAGACAGAAGTGAGTCAATGGCTCGGGTGCGTTTTGGAACTTTCTGACCTCTTACGGACCGCCTGGCTTAGGGGTTCGCTTCAGTGTCAAGCTGTTAAAAGCTGTTTTCTGCTGGGCTTTTTAGTTGTCCTGGTGTTGGGCGAGTAGCTGTAGCGCCTGGAGAGCTGACGTGGAGCGACAAGCGTTGAGCACGCGGCGCCGCAGCGAGCGGCGCTGGGTTCAGCTGCCGCTCTGCCCTCCCCGACCTCGGGCTGGCGTCCGCGTCACCAGCAGATGTCGTTTTGGGTGGAACCAGCGTGTCTTTGAGAGAAAATCACGATACAGGAGGCATGTGCTTCGGCTCTGCAGCTCAGCAGCTTGGCGCCTTCGCCGCAGACGGAATTCTGCAGCGTTTTCCCTGCGCTGCAGAAGGTTGCTGCTGCTCTCTCAGGGCAGGCTTGCTGGGCGGGAGGGAAAGCCCCTCCCGGCGGGCTGCCGTTCTAAGGCATCGCCTCGTCTTTTGCCAGAGCGCCTCAGGACGGGCAGAACTTGGGGTAAACCACATGAGCTGGGAGACAGAGGACTGAGAGAGGTGGGAATGGGTTTAGGGAAGTAACTTGCTGAGTTTTCTTGCTGAAGAGGGATATGAGTACGGCTCCAGAACGCTCTTCGCAGCAAGCACTTGTTTGACGAAGTATTTGGTTAAAGTCACACCTGAATTTCAGCGCTCTGTGGCGGGATGGGGGTTTAGGGGGCTGTCTGCGCCACGGGAAACCCTTTCTGTTGGCTTAACTGCTGTTTCTTATCCATAAAACCACCTCATGGCCATGTAGAGACAGTTGTTGAAGGGATTTCTGTGAAGGTGCGCTGCGGGAAGAGCCAGTAATCTCTGCCAACCTGTGGTTCCTTTTACTCAGGGAATTCCAGCAAGCATCGTGTTCTTCAGTCCGTCTGGTGTCAAATTTTGCCTCCAGCACATTCAGAAGCTTTCGGGGGATTTTGTCAACCATATCAAGGTATCTTCTCTTTAAAAGTGGTGCAAATACAATAGGGAGTAAGTTGGGGGGGCGGGGGGCAAATGAGAGATGGGAAAGCTGTTACACCCATTACAAACCTTCATTTTCTCTTGTGTTTGTTTCTCCGAAAAGACAGCAAATACATAGGTATCAAATGCAAATGGTATTACATAGCTGAGCTTTTTCTTAAAAAAACCCAAAAAGCAATTGTTTTCACCTAGAATTTTTTTCCCCAACTAACTTGCCCAGTCTCCACTGGCTATAGGCTTTATTTTCTCTTAGCAATGTGAAGGTGTGAGCAGTTCTTGCTTGAATTCTCAGAGCAGCTGTGGCTGCCCCCTCCCTGGCAGTGCTCAAGGCCAGGCTGGATGGGGCTGGGAGCAACCTGGTCTGGTGGGAGGTGTCCCTGCCCATGGCAGGGGGGTTGGAACTGGATGGTCTTCAAGGTCCCTTCCAACCCAAACCATCCTGCGATTCTGTGAATCAGCAATTACAGGCTGAGGCCCATCAACATTCCTCTCACTTCTCCTGTTTTGTGGGACTAAGAGCTCTAAGGGTTTGTGACGGTGAGATAAATAATAACCTTTCCTAAGGAGCGTAATTGGTAGGTGGGTTTTAACACTGCAAATCTTCAGCCTGAAACGGTTCGTGCAGTTGAGCAAGTTCAACGATGTCATTTCAGTTTGCGGCCATCGGGCCGACGACGGCGGAAGCCCTGGAAGCCGCAGGACTCCCCGTGAGCTGCACTGCAGAGAGTCCCACTCCCCAGGACCTCGCCGCTGGGATCCAGAAAGCTCTTCGCTTGCAGAACTGCCGATGGCCTCAATGAGAGGGCGGCGTGCGTTTGGAGGCGACGACGTGCGTTTGGAGGCGACGATGGTGCTGTGGAAGGTTTTCCAGTTTGCAGACACACTGGCCTGGCAGGGCCTGGTGTGATGAGCCTGCATCTGACCAGCTAAGAAATCTGGAATTTGTCCAGTGTATTTTAAAGCACGTGGCTATTCCTTTCTCTGACGTGTGCAGTGTAAATATTTTACATGGACATTCCCTGAAAACTAGTTGTGAGAGGCTGATCTGCACCGGAGTGGGACATGGAAATACACGTATCACCTCAGGTATCTCCTGGCACACGAGGTAAGGGTTTCATTTCTCTGTACAGTCAGTTTTGGACACACATCTTTTTCTTTTGTAAAAGGAAAGCGTGCTTACCATGAAGTATTTTCTGTCATAAAGCTTATTGGTTCATTGTTCTGCTTTTCAAATATTTATGTTAAAATGATGATTGCAGATTCTCAACGGAATAGGACAGTTCCGCAGTGAAGTTGCACTGTGTGGAGCTAATCGCAGGCTGGCTGGTGCCACTCCAAATCCTTACGGTGCAGGGTCTTAAAAAATTAGTCTTTGGTTTCTATTCCTGTAATGAAGGAGGATTTATTAACAGAGAAATAAACTGGCTTATCATTGCTAACAACGGTGTTAGAGTTGTCTGGTTGGGATGTGGTTTATGCTTTACTTGTTTATCTCTGAAAGGAGAAAAAGTAATCCTGTTTAGCACTAATGCTACCTTGGCTAATGTGAAGAGATTCACAGAAGATTTAGATCATAATATACTCCATTATAGTCCTCATGAAAGTCATTCATGTTGCTGAGGTTCAGAGAGTAACAGAAATCCTCATTTGCTGCAAGTTTCTATTAGCTTACCTCTGAGTACCTGACCTGAATTTCCAATCAGGTGAGATGCTCCGTGCCTAGAAGAAGAGTTAAACTGAACCCAATTATGTTAATGTCAACGGAAGGGATTTCCAGTTGTGTATGTGCATTCACCAGTCACACTGGGCACAGGAAGGCAACTGGTTTGCTTTATAAAGCAGGTCAGTTTCTAGAGATGAAATAGAATCTCTGAAGTATAGTAATTGCTGGAGGAGAACATTGAACAGTGGGAGGAATACCTCATCACTGAAGAA